CAAATTGCACCCTTGGTGCCCTAACGGTTAAGCAAATTACTAGATTACAGAAGCATATGTACTCTTCGTGGGAGAATAATGTACACTTGCTACCTTAAGAAAAAAGCAAGCATGAGAGGAATTCATTGCTCTCAAATTGTTGGGATCCACTTTAGAATCATCATATGGTATTTCGTAATAAATAAATAAGAAAAAAAAAAAAAGGGAATTCTGAATTCTTGAACTTAGATCCTTGAACTATGTTATATGCTTGCACAAAGGCAAGGCAGAGCATGATTTGCATAGCCGACCCCAAATAATTGGGGTACAGCTTGCAATTATGATGATGAAACTTAGATCCGGCCATCTAGAAATCAGATAGTCGGTGATAAATCCGATGACAATTTTCTTTTAGAAAGATATATAGAGAGTATTACTTCCTCTTTTTTTGCCTTGATCAGTGGGCTGAGGAGGTTACGGCCCAAAATTTGAAGCCCTAAAATACTTCTAGCTAATATTTTATTGAAGGAGTGAACACACACTTTGCTCCCAAGGGAGCACAAAATCTTTTTGGCTAGTCCTTTGAGGCATGAGAGAGAGCCGGAAGATGGCCATGGCGCTTGTAGGTGAAGCGGGTAACTGGAATTGATAGGAAGTCATGTCATTACGGTTTTTGCCTCTTGTTTGCATGCATTCTATGAGAAATGATGGTTTATGCCTCCTTTTTCCACAATAATGCTATGGTTAAGCATGTGTCACAAAGCAATGATCGTGGCTATGTTGGGTTTGAGCTTTCGTTTCATGTAGTCGTGTCTCTTTCTTTGCCCGTTTCAGAGATATTGGAAGATATATTGTACCTAATTGATATTGTTAAAAATAGTGAGAAAAGACATAAGAATTTATAGTTTTACCAGGTATGATTTTTAATAAAAAGCACAATAGCAAACAAGGATTTGCATAACGGATTCCAATTAATTGAGAAAATGCTATGATAATTGATTTAGCATTGATTGGATGATATTAATATTTGAACTTTAAAATATAGACAGACTAACTAGGATCTTGCCCGAGTCATATGGCAATTTTGGGCTGGAAAAGCCCTAGAATCAGCCTAGTTGCCCACTTTTCACTAGTTTTAGGTTTTTCTTATTAAAAATTGCCCGTCTGACCAGGACTTAACCCAATTCGGATAGAGTGGTGCTTAACCGGGGGTCTCTAGTTAATTGGAGCCCAAGTCCAACTTTTAAAACACTGGATGATATGAAGCCAGGAAATGAATGAGACACTTGTTTCACGGAGGAGCTCCTGACCTAGTTGGAGCCCAAGTCCAACTTTTCAACATCTTATGGCTAAGGGTGTTTCATTCCAAAAGTAAACTTAGACCCTCCCCTAAATAGTGCCTAATGTTTGTTCCTTACCATCACCTCAAGGAGATTGAGTCCCTAAACCCCTAAAACAAAAGTAATAAAGGATGGCAGACTTTTGAGTCCAGCATTCTACGCACTAATGTGGTATTGCACATACTCCACCACAAAGATATCGATCGTTTGTTCTCACCTCTCACAATGGATTGTGTAGATATATATCATTTGGACGGTCTATCATGGGACCACGGTTCAGTTATGCAATTTCGTGGTTTTCCGGTAAAATTTTATTGTTAAATGTAAGTTGGTATAGCTCATACTTGCCAAAGTTGGACATGAGAAATCTGGATCACACCCTGTAGAGCCGGTCTATGATTTCGAGCTTTGAACTGCTATTGGCATCATATTTACCAAGTTTCTTAATTATATCTTCTTAAATACCCATTATTATTTTATTTTATTTGACAATGTTATGTTATTTTATTAATAAGGGATTGTCTACAAAGACATCATTTATCTTTTGTGCATGGAAGTTATGATCACATTTCACTCATTAGATGTCAAATTGGATGGCTTGAGGTGAGTCACGAAATCCAAGAATTTATTTTTGAAACTTTGTGATATTCAATGACACTCTTACAACCACCCATTTTGAAATTTAAAGGACAAAAACAGTTGTGACCTCTATTTACAAAAGATAAATAATCTTTTTGTAGACAATCCCTATTAATAAATGATTACAAAAAAATTATACATTAATCATCAGAAACTAAAAGTACTTCTAGATTCGTGCCAAACTTGGCCAAACTATAGTGAAGGCTGCTGCCTAGTACTTATAAAGATGGTTTTAAAATTGATTCCCATCCTTAATTATGAAATGTAAAACTTTAAAAATTTGTGCAAATCAAGCAAATCCGTAAACATTTAAAAACCTTAAAAATGAACGGTCTGGATAATGTGTTACAATATTTATTTTTTTTAAGATTTAATTTAATTTTTTATTTTTATATTCATACATCCCAAGGATGTTCAAATGTAAGGTATTTCAGTATCGAAACATCATGGATAATTAAGGTGTAGTATAAAGTTTTAGCCAATAGGAGCGACTTTACCAATAACATGGTACAAGAACCATCCCTAAGAATCATTTACAATGGGAAAAAGTTTATATGAGGTTGCTACCTTTTACTAAAAGTAAGGTGCACTTAAAAATTTTAATAAAAAAGCCTTTCAATTGATCATTTTGACTCTGATATATATGAATATAAAAAAAAAAAAAAATTAATACTAAAAAATAGTGCATATTGTAACAATTTATCGGCCCATATATTTTCAATAATTTCAACCGTTTACCTATCCACTCAACCTGCACTAAGATTTTCATGCCAATGTAAGGTTTTGGACTCCATAATTGTTAGAAGTGAGCCTTAGGTATACAATATATCTCATTCAACCAAAAAAATCCTTATACAAACATCACCCTTTAGGGATAAGTTATGTCCGAATTCCGGCGATTTTTGCTCACATCGGAAATTTCGGCCCGAGAAACGAGAAATTACTTAGGTGCACGGTGTAGCCGTATATCACGCGGGGACATACGAGGCGGTTGCAGGGACACTCTCCAAGGCTTTGACCCATCTATTTCTCTACATTTATTTAATAAATCGCATCTCACCTAGACATGGCTTCGTCTCTTTTTTAGTTATTGCAAAGCCCAACATAGGGAAAAGTAAGTATAAAATTCATAGTTAAACGTTAAAAAAGCAACGATTTAATCGATAAAATCGAGACATTCGGCGTTAGGGCCATTAAGTTGGATCCTTAGTTGAAAAGAAATCTTTAATATTTGGTTGTATACTTTTTAAAATCTTTAATATTTGGTTGTGTTACTTTTCTTAATAGATGGTTTTAAGAAATTTATTGACAAAACCTGAACGATGAAAGCCGAGTTTTTAAATAGATTATAGTAAGGATGTATTCTTACTAAGTTATATAGATATATAATGTATAAGGCGGTAATCGTACTAGTAAAAGTAAGTTGCGGTGTTATTCATGTTTATTTTAGTTTGTTGTTATGTGTGTTCAATTTGACAAAACAGATTAGACATGTCTTTTAAGATAATACTTAATAAAAAAAGTTTATATAAAGTTACAACCTTAAAATGTAAAATCACATATGCACCTGAAAATTCCATCGAAAAAAGTTTTTTTAATGTTGAAAAACTCTCTAATTGACCATCTCGACATCGAGATGTATGAATATGAAAAAAAAAATGATTTTGAGTCCCAAAAATAGTGCATCTTGCAACACATTATCTAGACCGTTCATTTTCAAGATTTTCATATTTTTATAGACCTACTTGATTTTGACCATTTTTAGAGTTGATGTAAAAATAGGTTTTCAGATAATCCTAAGATTTTTTTATACCAAAATCACACGTTATGTAATATTTGGAGGTTCGCCTTAATTGGATTGTTTAAAGTTGCAACCTTATAGAAATTGCACCCATATTTAGTTTACACTCTTCAATTAAAATGAACAACACAATTATTGCAATCTTGCTTCTGCAAAAAAGTTGTCACCTCATATAAATTTGTTCCATATTTAGATTGAGTAATTGCACTTTGAGAATGATGATGTTTTCAAAAAAAAATATGTGGTTTTACAACATCAATAATGCAATTTAATAACCACAAAATTAATGTTTGATTGGTTTTGTCCAGTCAGACAGACCAATTTTGACAATAATATTGGTAAACAAAATTACTTTTTTTTTTTGGTGATATATTTTAAATTTTTTAAATAGTATTTTATTTTTAAAATTTTTAAAGGGTGTAGTTCGCATATGGTTGCAACCTTAAACAATCAAAATAAGGTGCACCTTCAACATTTATCATAAGATGTAATGTTAGTGTCGAAAATTTTTACGATGACAAGAGAATCGATGTTTATCTAGAATTATAAAATTTCAAACTCCAAAAATGTTTTAGATCAAGTTGATCTATATATGTATGAAAATTTTGAAAATAGATTTTCCATATAATGTGTTGCAAGATGTACTACTTTTGAGACTTGAAGGTTTTTTTTTTCCTTTTCCATATCTATACATATCAATGTCGAGATGATCAATTGATAGTTTTCGAACATCAAAACAATATTTTTCGATAGAGTTTTGAGGTGCACTTTAATTTTACAATTTAAAACTTCTAACCATATATAAAATTTTATTTTTTTAAAATGTGATCCTACGATTTCTACTTGCTATTAAATCAGTTTTTAAGTACCCTAAATCAGTAAAATGATGCAAAATCTTCCACTGCATATAGGCCTACAAAAACTTTGTCCTATTTTTCAAGGATACGGCACCGCTCTAAATTAGCTATCCTCTCATATAACTTTTTATTTTTTCTCTAAATTCTATTCCATGGTTTATAAAAACTTTTTCATTTTAATTTTTTTGTTTGATTGGGAAAGGCAGAGTAATTGCACTCCTTTCACATTACTGACCCGAAAATAGAGGAAAGCCGAACCAAACCAGAGGAACCCATCTACAACCAGATTCCAGTTAACCCGGGTTAATATCTGAACCCCTTGGGTTAATCAGTTTATTATATATACCCGCCTATTTGCTAGAAAGGGTTCGGTTTGACCCCTTGGCCCCATCTCGCCAACTCCTTTCTCAAGACTCTTCTTGGACTGATAACCAACAGTGTCAGTGTAGAGAGAGAAACTCCATCTGTCAATCAAGTTTCTAGAGAGAGAAACTTCCGTCAGAGGGGGGAACTTGGGAGAGAGAAAGGCAGCGATGGGTTTCTTAGAGAGAGAGAAAGAGATGAACTAGAGCGAGAAAGGAAGCGTGGGTTTTTTAGAGAGAGAAAAAGCTTCGACGCCCTGCGCTTTCTAATGGCGTACGCACCGGGCACGAGAGGCGTGGAGAGTGCGCTGGTTTTGGACTGATGTAATGCTGTGTCAGATGTCTCTGGAGGGCTGAGGTGAAGCTTTTAAGTCCTCTTTCATGGCGGGTGATCTCTGCGAGTGTGGTGTAGAATTTCTGCATTGAGTTAATGGCGGTTGATTTCTCGCTTGTTTGTCTGTGAAGAGAGCTAGGGGCTCAACTTTAATGGTGAAAGTTGTGTTCACAGAGGGAACTGGCGGTCTTATACCTTCAAGCTCGACTTTAATAGCTGACATTGCAAAAACATATCCCTATAAGTGAAAAAGGTGCCTGCTCCTTTTTCCTGGTTTCAGTTAATGAAGCATTTGGTGGACTTGAACCGGTGGTAAAGTCCTTGGAGAAAGAAAGACTCATGAACTGAGACTCAGATAGTAGAAAGTATCAGATCTCCTGTCACTTCAAAGGAAGCATTTAACTCAGCTTTAATGGCGGACGCAACAGAAGCTAAATCCATGGCTGATGCGGAGAAGAAGAAGGAGCTGAGTCTCCCTTTCTATAAGCTTTTTTCTTTTTCAGATAGTTATGACTGGTTTGTTATGACAATAGGAACCGTAGGAGCAGTTGTTCATGGATCCTCCATGCCTGTGTTCTTCTTGTTCTTTGGTGATTTGGTGAATGGTTTTGGAAAGAACCAGATGGATCTGAGGAAGATGACAGAAGAAGTCTCAAAGGTTTGTGATCCATTCGAGTTGTTTGTTTGATTCAAAACTTTCAGACAGATACCCCATTAATGGTTCAGTGCTCTTAGATACCTCTCAGAAGTTATTCTTAACTCCATTTTAGCTTTTTCTAAACGTTAGATAGAGAAAATGGAGGTAATTCTGGGATAACCGTTGATACTTATACAATTATTAACCGTTTCAAAAAAAACAAACCGTTAATACTTTCACAGTGGTGAAGCTTGAGAATAGCCATTTTTTCCTTTTGAAGAATTCAAAGTTCCTTGCTGCCTTCAACTTTACTCTTTAATAACTCTGACAAAAATTTTGTAGAGAGACAGAGAGAGAGCCTTGAACTTTACTCTTAAATTAACTCTTTGACAAAAAATTTAGAGAGAGAGAGATGGTCAGGCCATCTTACATAGTCCTTTCCAATCACATTTTAGATATCCGCTGGGGCGAGTTACTCGACTCGGCAACTTGGGAGTATTGAATAAACAAGAAACATAAAAAATTATCAATGTATGAAGATTATACATTTAATTTGGATGTTTTTTACAATGATACGTGAGTTTTTCTTGTCATATGACTATTTCTTATATTCTTCTGAAATTTCTCTAACTCTGAATCAATTTTTTTTAAATCCTTGTTTTATATATTTTTCAGTTTATTTGGAGTTTCTATGTTGTTTTTTGTTTTGTTTCACTTTTAAAAATGTATTTTATTTTTTGAGTATTCTTTTTTTTTTTAGGCCAAGGTACTCGGCTCGGGCCAGGGCTGAGTTCAAGGTTCGAGCTAGTTTAAAAACATGAGCAATGATTTTATGCAACGGTTGCATCATACTATAATGTAACGACAATTCTAAAAAATTATGTTTGCGTTTTTTGTATGACACAAAATTAGGCACACACGCTCTCTTCATCTCAATTATCAATAAAAAAAAAAAGTTCAATTTGAAACCCTCAAAATGAGTCCATTTCAAAAACGAATCTAGACCATTCATTTGGTGAATTTCAAGATCTTAGCTTTTATAAACTCAAAATCATTTTTTCCTTTTTAACATTATTCATCTAATAATAATAAAGTCATAAAAAAAGATTGAAAATGAAAAAATCCTTCTAAGACCTAGATCTAAACATCTCACTAAAATAAATGGCTTATGTTAATTGGGCTAAAAAGAATACCGTATTATTATTATTATTATTTTTTATTGTTCATTAGAATGAAAAAAGTGTATATTTTAAAATTTAGATCAAACAAATGGCCATAACATGATTTTCTAGAATTGTCGTTGCATTATATTATGATGCAACTGTTGCATGGAATCATTGCTCTAAAAACATTGTTTCATATAGATAAAGCATATGGGAAAATCTTGGAGGATATCGCAAGGTCCTTTTATACTATTGGGAGTTTCCAAGCTTTAAAGAGAGAACCTTAATGGTGCTCGGCTTCTAATACATTACGGGAAATTCAAATGAAAGAAACATTTAAAATGTCCTCCTTTTTTTAAGAGATAAAAGAGAAGATTGAATGAATTCTGAGATCTGTGCAATTTTTTGCTATGCAGTATGCATTATACTTTGTCTACCTTGGGCTGATTGTTTGCGCCTCCTCATATGCAGGTACATATTTCCTTCTCTCCTGATTTTTTTTTTTTTGATAAAATTTAAGTTTAAAGTGTCTATTTCACTTAAAATATAATTTAGAAACAAAATTGAATGAAGATTCTCTTAAGAAACGAAATTTAATGAAGATTATTATGCAAATACCCTCCGTCTGTTTACTTTTCAAAGCAGAAGATTATTATATGTTTATAATTTTCCATGTTTACAGTTGTTTATATACTTTTTTCCAATATTAAAGTTTTATTCCCCGCTCTAAATCATTTCCAATCTTATTAGTATGAATCACTTGGGGCTGCTTAAGGTGAAAAATGAGATCTTTTTAACATAATTTCTTATTTCACCATTTCGCTTTTTGTCTTTTGATTTTCCCATTTTCACATTGCAGAGATTGCATGCTGGATGTATACTGGAGAGAGGCAAGTGAGTGCTCTAAGAAAGAAATATCTGGAAGCTGTATTGAAACAGGACGTGGGGTTCTTTGACACTGATGCAAGAACCGGAGACATAGTGTTCAGTGTTTCTACAGATACACTTCTTGTGCAGGATGCCATTAGTGAGAAGGTAAAAGGGCTTGATAAATGCAATATATTCTTTTCCCCATACTCTGGTTGTTAACTTAACCATCAAGTTTGCCAAACAATCTGAAGTTTTTCTCTTTCAGGTAGGGAATTTCATACATTATATGTCCACTTTCCTTGCTGGTTTAGTGGTTGGGTTTGTCTCAGCATGGAGATTAGCACTTCTGAGTATTGCAGTTATACCTGGGATTGCATTTGCTGGTGGTTTATATGCTTATACTCTCACGGGCCTCACTTCCAAGAGCCAACAGTCATATGCTAGTGCTGGAATTATTGCTGAAGAGGTAAATATTTTTTCTAAATCTTTCATTGGCTGAATTCAATTTAGCTATTTCTAAAATGGTAATTCATTAGGAGATCAAAAGCAATTAATTCTGTGGTTTCCAGGCTATTGCACAAATTCGGACTGTATACTCTTATGTGGGAGAGAGCAAGGCGCTTGGTTCTTATTCTGAAGCCATCCAGAATACATTGAAGCTTGGCTACAAGGCTGGCATGGCAAAGGGATTAGGCATTGGATGTACTTATGGTATTGCTTGTATGTCATGGGCTCTGGTTTTCTGGTATGCTGGAGTTTTCATCAGAAATGGCCAAACAGATGGTGGAAAGGCATTCACTGCCATATTCTCTGCCATTGTTGGTGGAATGTAAGAAGCAACATGGATGATTTCTCAATTAGGTTTACTCTGTATTTGTAGATTTGCACATTTTTGCTGATGACATTATTGAATTATTGTGCAGGAGCTTAGGCCAATCTTTCTCAAATCTTGGAGCATTCAGCAAAGGAAAAGTTGCAGGTTATAAACTAATGGAGATTATCCAACAAAAGCCTTCTATTATTCAGGATCAGGCAGAAGGAAATATCTTGGAACAGGTCCAAGGCAACATAGAATTCAAAGATGTCACCTTCAGTTATCCTTCACGACCTGATGTTGTTATATTTCGCAGTTTATCCATTCTCTTTCCTGCTGGTAAAACAGTTGCAGTGGTTGGGGGGAGTGGATCTGGTAAAAGCACAGTTGTGGCTTTGATAGAACGATTTTATGATCCAAACCAAGGTAATTTGAACTCTCAATTTTTGTTTGGTGATGGCTTTTCAGTGATGGGTTTCTCTTCTAATTCATTTTTCTCTTTTCAGGACATGTGTTACTTGATAATGTGGATATCAGAACCCTGCAACTAAGGTGGCTAAGGGACCAGATTGGTCTGGTAAATCAAGAACCTGCACTATTTGCAACAACCATACGAGAAAACATTCTTTATGGAAAGCCAGATGCTACTAATGATGAAGTGGAAGCTGCAGCAGCTGCTGCAAATGCTCACAGTTTCATAGCGCTTCTTCCTAATGGCTATGATACACAGGTGAATAACAGAGACCATTTCATCTTCTTCATTAACTTTCATCCACATAATTCATTGTAGGTTCCATTTTCATTTATTTGACTCATTTTCTCTTTCAAAACTAGAGTATCAACCTGCTGCACTAGTAACATATACATCTCACAACTAGTTTGTGTTAATCATGTAGCTTAAAAGCTACAGATATGTATATGATCACTTATCTTTTAGTCCAGTACTACTCTCGTTTGCTAAAAATTAATGCAAGTTTTGTTCCTAATGTCCCCAATATTGAACTCTTGAAGTCTATCCTGGGAGCAACCTCTAATTTTCTTCCTTAATCTCTCATCCGTGTACAGGTAGGAGAACGTGGTGTCCAGCTTTCTGGTGGCCAAAAGCAACGAGTAGCCATAGCCCGAGCAATGCTAAAGAACCCCAAGATCCTCCTCCTTGATGAGGCTACCAGTGCCTTAGATGCTGGGTCTGAAAGCATTGTTCAGGAAGCTTTAGACCGCCTTATGGTGGGCCGAACCACTGTGGTAGTTGCTCACAGGCTCTCGACCATTAGAAATGTTGATACCATTGCTGTAATTCAAAATGGCAGGGTTGCTGAGTTAGGCAACCATGACGAGCTCCTTGCTAAGGCCCCTTCGGGGGCCTATGCAAATCTGATCAGGTTCCAAGAGATTGCCAGGAACCGAGAGGGCCTTTCCTCTACAAGGTGAGATTATGGTAATCTCTAGTTTGGGATTCTCTTTTCTTGTCCTTCAGGTATTTATCACTAGTTTGTTCTCACAGTTTCAGAGGGCAAAAAGAACTTGATGACATGTTATTAGATAGTTTGTGTTTGAGTTGAATCTTTCTCTGGAAGTTGAAATGGGTACTTTTATTTCTAATTATCTGATATTTTAGATTAATTTCCTTGTTTGGTTCCTTTTTAGTTGGGTAAACTGCATTAGGCGAGATACCTATCTATCTGTTAATTAGTATGAAGGAGTACATGCTTGTTATTCCAAGAGCAGAAATACTTTTGTGAACTCCTAAAATACCCTGCTATCTTACATGTCAAACCCTAGTTGGTTTGGGCTGAATCACTAGGCGTTCAAGTCCTTATAACAAAATACAGAAATAACCTGGGTGGTTCACTGATTTAATAAGGCTGCATATCTTACCATTCTGAATTAGTTAAGTGAATGCTTCCATTCCTTACACGATTAACATATGTTTTTTAGGGCTTGTTTGGATGACAATTGATTTATCTGGAACATACTATCTTATTTAAAATTAAGTATACATTGGATAATGTTATTTTGTTAGCTGTTGGTACGCATCTTGTATTATGTGTAATATTATTTAAAATTTAATTTTTCAGTGATTTCTGCTATTTTTAGCTATTTCTGGCCAAGAACATATGATGTTCAACAAACTACTTTGAATGAAGTAAAAATAGCTTTTCAAAAAGATAAACTTATATATGAAACTGTTTTTAAGTTTGTCTCAAATAACTTTTATGATGGACCCAACCAAACAACAGACAACTCGTTCTCACAATTCACTTTATTGAAACAATGAATTATCAATAATAACAAGTACATCTAAACATGCCCTAAACATACTAACCAACTTGGGATTTCATCTTATCAATTTTGTTGTAATCCACTTTGAATAATAGAGATCCCGAATTTGTTTTAAAAGTTGATTGTTTCTGTTTATTCTTCCTACATAAGCTTGGTCATACTAATTGAATATTTGTTCCAATCATCCTCAACACCAGGCGCTCTCGCTCCTCCCGACTCAGCCACTCACTCTCTACCAAGTCCCTAAGCCTCCGTTCTGGCAGCCTGCGAAATCTAAGCTACCAATACAGCACGGGAGCGGATGGGCGCATTGAAATGATCTCTAATGCTGATTCAGGAAAGAGGAACCCAGTGCCCAAAGGCTATTTCATCAGGCTCCTTAAGCTTAACATGCCCGAGTGGCCATATGCTCTTCTTGGTGCAGTGGGTTCTGTTCTCTCAGGGTTTATTGGACCCACTTTTGCCATTATAATGAGCAACATGATTGAGGTTTTCTATTACAGAGACCCTGCTGCTATGGAGTCCAAGACTAGAGAGTTTGTGTTCATGTATATAGGGGCTGGGCTCTACGCTGTGATAGCCTATTTAGTTCAGCACTATTTCTTCAGCATTATGGGGGAGAATCTCACTACTAGGGTTCGAAGAATGATGCTTGCAGGTATATGTTTCTTCTTTCTTTAAAAAAGAAAAGCGAAGAGAAATTGACTCCTGATTTTCCGTCTTTAATCTAATGAGCAGGACTCCTGCCTATTAGATCATCAGATCCCAATTCTTTCCCTGTTCTCTTTCTATTTTATTTTTTGGGTAAGAGAGCTACATGAATTTGCATGAGGCATAGAATTAATGATACTTAGCTTGAAGAGTAGAACATCAAAAATTTAAGCTTTTGTCCTTTTAATTTAGTACTATATATTTCTTACCCAACACTTGTGTTATTGTTTTCTTGTGATCATCTCTATCGCTGCTAATTTATGGCAAATATATTACACATTGTATATTATGTGTTTTTTGGTGGATCATCCTCATGACTTACATTTGAATTGAGAAAAAGCCAAATATTTGTTAACCACAAATTTAGTTTGTGACGTTTATTTGAATTTAGTGAGCTGCCTTCTGATTGTTGGCCATTGTAACCACTCAAAACCCATCCCCTTACTCTTCTGTCTCTGCTAATTTTTAACCCCTAATAACCTAAATGTTAGTTATTTATTCTGAGTTTCAGTCTTATTTCTCTATTTCTTAACATGGATCGGCTGAAATAAGAAACGGATTTAGCTGTCCAGCTTTGCGAACTTTTCCTGTCTAAAGTATCTAAATATTTTCATTATCAGGTGTACTAACTGGGTGCTAAAATTTTCTTTTGAGCCACTTCTATTGATTTCTTTTGATTAATATCTTTGTCAGCTATTCTGAGGAATGAAGTGGGCTGGTTCGATGAGGAGGAGAACAACTCAAGCCAAGTTGCCTCTCGTCTAGCTACTGATGCCACTACTGTAAAATCTGCCATAGCCGAGAGAATGTCTGTGATTCTCCAAAATATGACTTCCCTTCTCACTTCATTCATTGTGGCTTTCATTATCGAATGGCGAGTCTCACTCCTCATTTTGGCCACTTTCCCCCTCCTTGTGTTTGCCAACTTCGCTCAGGTGATTCTAAAGATCTCTCTCTCTCTCATCTATCTATCTATTATGCTAAGCAATTCTTTGACCTCTTTTCAATCTTTTCATGGCTTTCTACTTTTGGGAAAGCATACCGTAGTGTCAAACCATGTGGTGGCCAGAAGGCCAATCCACCTTCTATTTTCAGTGTCAGAGTTTGGTGATCAAAAGCCTCAATTAGTCTCCACCCAATTAATCTTCAACAAGGGATATTCAAGCTTCTAACTGTAATTGGAGGCCTTAGGAAAGCTACAAATATGACTTCTCAGAACACTAAACTTCTAAATAATTGTAAAATTATATTTTCCGATTGCTTTAAAAATCAGTTGATTTATATTTTCTTCTAAAACGAGAAAACAAAAATATTACTGCATGAATCTAGACTCAATATGGAAAAACTGTTTTATTTTGCTCCATCATTCTATTGGTTCTACCAAATTTTCAAGAAAATGGTGATAGTGATTAAAAAATTGGAATCCCCTTGGAGCACCCGGGGTCCGTTTTCAATTTACCCGATCAGATTTGGGCGGTTCTCAAGCCTGATCCCCTTATAATTCACAAAGCAAAAAAGGAAAACGCAAAAGAAAATAAAGGAAAAAGGGGGGAATAAACCTCATTGGAATGGACTCGATGATTATTGACTCGATCGAGTCAGATCCTCGATTTTTTTAAAAGTTCAAACCCTGTTGATACCGTGCACGATGCTGGAAAGATAAGTCTCCAAAGTTAAAAGACAAAATCATACAGCTGCTCGAGCATACGGCCAACGAATTCTTCTTATTGATTATTGATGTGTTAAAAAATTTGTCATCTTTATTTGATATGAAAGCTCTACTTTTTTTTTTGTCGAGTTATTTCATTCTTTTTTTTTTATTTTTATTTTCTTTTTGTTATCCCGGAACTGTAAGTATGTATCCCTGACTGTATAGGCGGGCGGGTTTAGAGTGGGCTGATATGCCGACGTGGTGTGGCTTGCGATTTTCGAGATTCACGTTTCGGTGGGGCCACCTAATTGTTCGGGGTTTGACCGGGGCCCACGAGCTGACACGTGGCATTCCATCGTGGCATCCATTTTATCTAGGCATTGAACTTTTGTCGTAGATGCCTTGGATAATTTGGGATATACCCCTTTCAGTGCCTGAGAGTTCCAAGTTGACGTTGAACTTTCAATTAAGACAAGCTCGCACGAGAGTTTTAGATTTAGCAAATTATCATCCTGTGTTTCAAAACCCTCGGTCCGGATTAAGAATCGGTGATCCAATCTGAATATTAGTGGTGACCAAGCAAATTCCCCAAATATATCAAAACAGGGCTCGATTCTGCATTTTTTTTTGCCTGGTCTATGGTTTTCAACACTGAATCTAACATATTTAAGCTTTAAAGGCCTTTTCCATTCAGCATATCTAGTCGATCCAGCCAATCCAGATTACAATCAATGGATGGGCGATTCACCTCACTTATCCATGTTCTAGAACTTTGTTGACTACCATCTATAGAGATGCCCCTGCTGAACTTTGTTAATTAACCTTCTCTGTTCTAGAAATAATCGAGACAACCCTTATGAAGTACCAAAAATAATTGAGATGACCCTGCTGAAGTACCAACGCTGCCTGCAGTGGACTCTCGGGCTCTTAGGTATCATTCGAAATCGTGCTTGGGTAGTTTTGATGAACTGTAAGCGAGTTTGGGAGCTATTCTTTTTCAAGTTTTAACCATTGCCACTCTTTCTACAGTAACCAGTCACTTCCTGGTCTTTTCTAAGGAAAATATGAAGCTGTCCAAATTATTGTCCTCCTTTCCTCCTGTGTCTAATGATTCACGTATTAATATAGAAAGAGAAAGCTCGACAGTATCGATGTCTGTGGCTTTCATCGTTAATTTATTTGTTGTGAGGGTCCACATTAATACTAGAAAGAGGAAGCGGACATTATCGACCTCTATGGCACCCTTGTTATTATACGCAGTTTTAGAGAGAGAAAGTTGGGCTAACCCCCTCCTCTATTTCTCTGAGGAGTTAAAAATGCACTACAGCATGTGGTCTTTCTAGATGCTCAGTGCTCTATAGCCCGTGACCCACTGGCTTGTCGGGATCTGCTCTGGTCTTTCATTCCAATGGCTCTCTTTGCCTTGTTCCTTTTTTTTAAATGTTGTACTTTATAGCTTTCCACCTTTCAGGTCTTTCAAGTTCGAATCTTTACAGACATAGCTGACCAGCTAGCGAGCCCTCCTTGTCTTAGCTTTTCTTGTAGCTCTAATTTTATAATAGGCTCTTTTCTATCCTAATCTCACTCTAACTCTCCTGATTTTTATGATATGCCCTTTTGAGATAGAGATAGGTTATTATATTACTCGCGAGGAGAGAGATCGATGAGATTGTTAGTAAAATAATCCTAGTTGTCTGGGTCTTGTCTTCTGGGTGCTGCCTTTCCTAGAGGCTTCTCAGGGTGGGAGGGAAATATTTCAAGGACATGGTTTTTATGAGTCCCGGACTCATATGTGGGAGGTTAAATATTTCAAGGGTATTGTTTTTATGAGTCCCGGGACTCATATGTTGATATGCCTCCCCTCTTCATCATCTATCTTTGAGATGAAATTTTGGACTTCATTTTCAGTTATATATAGCCTCTAACATAGAGTTCATTAATATGTAAAAAAATAAGTTTTTAAAACTAAAAATGTTATATTTTTTGAAAAAAAATTTGGACCATTAATTTTTATCTTCTTCACAGGGACCACCTCTCTAAAGAAAAATGTTGGGAAAATATAATTGAAAATTGTTAAACTACAATAAGAAAATCATTAAGGCGGCCTGATCAATTATTTCATCAACAAAGTAACTACTTTAGAAAGATATTTTTATTTGGAGTAAGCCTTACTATAGTTGGGTAGGTGTAATGACTAGTAATATAGGTGGAATCTCAGCCGTCAAATCTTCATCGAGTAGTTCAAAATGTATATCACTATTTTAATTTTAATTCTTTTATATAAATCTAAATAAGATGAAATTTTGGGTGTATATACCCAATACTATTGTATAAAAAAATTATTTTCAATAATTTAAAATGACCAAATTACCCCCATAATTTTTTAGGTGTATTTCGATTGTTTTATATTTTGGGAAATATTTTTTAATTGTACGCCCTATTTTTTACTACACAAGTCTAAAATTTGATTATGATTAGATTTCTAGAAAAAAAATATTAAAATTCATATAGTGATATACATTCTGAACCACATGATGAAGATCTGATGACTGAGATTCTACCTATATTATTATTCATTATAACTGCCGAGCTATTGTTAGCTTTTTTTCCTTTTATTTGACCTCAACTTTTTTGTGATATTACTTGTGTTATGTGCCAAGTTGTCAAATTAGAATAAGGGTATTTTGGCTATTTTAATGAAATACTTGATGAGGTACTTGATCTTTATAAAGTTACCACTTATGTTGTCAAATTCGTCGAAATGAATAAGAAAGGGGAAATGAATATGAATCTATATTCATTTCCCTTTTCTTATTCATTAAACTTTATAGTATTGAAAGCAGGCTAGCCATTGTTGGGGGATGAGAAAAACTACGACTTGGGCCACAAAATATGGCTCGAGGGCTGGGCCATCATGGAAGGTCGGATTGAGCTAGGCTGAAGCTATGATTGGGCTGGCCCAATCCAGTACTTTTTCTTATACTTTTTATTTTTATTTTTTTAAATCTATTTGGCCTAGCCCACACTGGGCTGGTGTGGGTTAGGACCAGGGTCCCTTGGCCATGTCCAGGATGGGCTGGCCCATGCCAACCCAATGGGGACCTTAACAGGGCTTGCGCCCATCCGGGCCCTGCCCAAATTTAGATATCACTAGGATATATTAGACGCTAATTCTCTTGACCACAGTGGCTATGCAATCTTTTTTTATTTATTTGAATAAACCAAGAATATGTGGTCATGGAGATTATCACAATCCAAATAATGCGTTAGAAGGTAGGTATTATTCTTGCGGGTTCCATTTGGTGTCCAACCCATTTTTTTTAACAGTGATTACATTCCTTAGTACTAATTCTCATTTGAACCTCATTACACGCTACTTTCCCGGACACTAATTTATGTAACCATTGAAATATATGGTCATAATTGGCAATATGTCATCAATGTCCAACCAATGGAATGCTCGGTGGAGAGAAAGTTGGATCAGCCAATAAAATACCAGCGTTAAGTTCCCTTAATCACCATTCATCCATTGATTTGATGGCCGTGATGGCAGTTTTTCCATGGTCCTATGCAGTGTTCGAGAAAAGAATCGGTTGGACAGATCGGCCCCTTGAAAACTGGTATGGATCGACAGTCCAGATTGGTGATCGAGCCAAGTAAATTGGCCAATAAAAAAATATAGAACAATATAAAATTTTTTAAAAGTAATTGAAAATAAAAGGTGGGGCTGGGTCGGATGGTTCCTGACACAACCAGCTGGTTTTGTCAAAGAACTGGCTGGTTCCTAGTAGGGATTGCCGGTTTCTAGTATATGGTGGGAACCAGATCGGTCCCACTGATTCCCTATCCGGATTGGCATTTTTTAAAACCCTCATTACATGGATCACAATGTACTTCCCGTAAGATTGCAACGAATTGATCCTTTTCTGGTAGTTCAAAGATTTTTTAAAGTGTTTCTTTCTGTTAGGGAGAGAGTTTGTCGATTAATCATTGAATCCTTATCTGCATGCTGGTTTCTTTCCATCCTCTACAGCAATTGTCACTAAAAGGGTTTGCGGGGGACACAGCCAAGGCCCACGCAAAGGCAAGTATGGTTGCCGGAGAGGGTGTGAGCAACATTCGCACTGTCGCTGCCTTCAATGCCCAATCCAAACTCCTAGCCCTCTTTCGACGCGAGCTCCGCCCTCCTGCCCATCGCGCTCTACGACGCAGCCAAATTGCCGGCCTCCTCTTTGGTGTCTCTCAGCTTGCCCTCTATGCTTCCGAGGCTCTCATTCTCTGGTACGGTGCTCGCCTTGTTCAACATGGCACCTCCACCTTTTCTCGCGTGATTAAGGTTAGTTGAAATTAAACCTTGTGCTGTTACGTTTAGTATTTTATTTATTAATTATTATTAATTAAATTGAGTTAGTTTTATGCAAAGGGATATTATCTTTGGGAATGTGTCTTGGTTTTCCTGGTTGTGAATTTAGGTGTTAAGTTTTAGCAAAGAACTCTATATGTTGGAAATGATAAAAATCCTAGTGAAAAATAAAAGTTGTGTTATTGTTTTTCTATGATAGACTACTTTGAAAGAAAAGCGGATACCTCGATTATCGTTCACCCAATAAAGGTTCCCCTTGTATCAATCATCCAAAATACAACCACTGCATCAACCATTTCTTGTAATCCTAAGAATTGGATTAGTGCCAGTCTGAACTCTTGGAACTTGTGCAATGCACGAGTGCAACCAATCAAATTATCTAGTAGCTTTTTAGATTTCAAGTTTTAAACTGATACAAAAATTTTTAGAACCGTCTCAAAAGATATTTTAAAATAATACATTTTCATAATTAATGCATAAAAAAATTATATTCCTTAATTTTATCAAAGGTAGAAAAATTAAGGAAATAGAGTTGAATTTGGAATTTATCAAACCTTATTTATTTGTGAAATTTATTGTTTAAAGATAAATTAATTTCACATCATTGTTGAAATGAAACTTTGTCAGCAATAAATTTCAAAAAAAAAAAAAAAGAAAGTGCTATTTTCTTACTTTTCAAGAATACATTAATTTCACATCATTGTTGAAATGAAACTTTGTCAGCAAAAAAATCAAGAATACATTATATAAATTAAAATTTTAATTTACACAAAATTTTAAATTTATTTTAATCCTATATATGTAGGGAAATCTTTTTTATAAAGACTCTATAAAGAGGTATTCCTACTTGGATAGTTTTCAAATGGCAAACTTTTGTAATTAAATTATTAAAAAAGTGTCACAATTCATAATTTCTTTTGTTTTGGGTAAATCAATTCTTAATTTATTTGAACTCTAAAAATAACTAATTTTAAATAATCAAAAAATTAATTTAAGTTTGGGAGCCTTTTTTGTTCTTTACATTCCTTCTCGGAGTGTGATACTATATACCCCAAATCTCAATGCTCTTTATTGATTAAAGTTCTCAAACAAAATAAGATATAATTGAACCCAATATATGTAGCATAAGTAAATATTTTATTATATTACAGGACATGATCCTGTGAAACCCTTGTGTACATGAAACATGTATGACCTCAATTTGCAAATTTGGGGGCCTAATTCACATGGTGGAGAGGATGTGTAACTCTGTCAAGATCCACCATTATTTGTCAAGCAAGAGTTACTTATCATCTCCATCTTTAGTCACCATCTGTTGAAATCAACAGGTCTTGTATGGTCATTTTCCTATGTCATATAACTTTATTTGTTCTCAATATTCAAAAATAAAAATCCTATTAAATTTGCACCACCAGGTCTTCGTGGTGCTCGTCATTACTGCCAACTCTGTTGCCGAGACTGTTAGTCTCACCCCTGAGATTATCCGGGGCAGTGAGGCCTTAAGCTCGGTCTTCTCCATCCTTGACCGCCCCACGGCCATTGACCCTGATGACAAGGATGCCGACCCTATTGAGTCAATACGTGGTGAGATTGAGTTCCGACATGTCGATTTCTCATATCCCTCCCGCCCTGAGGTCCAGGTTCTGAAGGCCCTCAACTTACGCATTCGAGCTGGTCAAAGCCTAGCCCTCGTAGGTGCAAGTGGCTCTGGCAAAAGTTCAATCCTCGCTTTGATCGAGCGCTTTTATGACCCCAGTGCGGGTCGAGTAACCATCGATGGACGTGATATTCGTCGCCTAAACCTTCGTGATTTACGCAAACGCATCGGGCTTGTGCAACAAGAGCCTATCCTCTTTGCGGCTACCATACACGATAACATAAGCTATGGTCGAGAGGGGGCAACTGAAGCCGAGGTGATAGAGGCAGCTAAGGCGGCGAATGCACACGGGTTCATAAGTGCCTTGCCCGATGGTTATAAAACCGCTGTTGGAGAGAGGGGTGTTCAACTTTCAGGGGGTCAGAGGCAGAGGATAGCGATCGCAAGGGCAGTGCTCAAGGACCCGGCTGTGTTGCTCCTGGACGAGGCCACGAGTGCTTTGGATGCAGAGTCAGAGCACGTTTTGCAAGAGGCCTTGGAGAGGTTGATGAAGGGGAGGACCACGGTGGTGGTAGCGCATAGGTTGTCCACCATTAGGGGAGTGGATAGTATTGGGGTTGTGCAGGATGGGAGGGTGGTGGAGCAAGGGAGCCATGGGGAGCTTGCCTCTAGGCCCGAGGGTGCATACACACGCTTGCTGCACCTCCAACACTACCACCACCACAGCTGAAGTAATTGGCCTCTCATTCTCTCTCACTCTAAAGTTCGTCTCTCTCTAAAGTGCCTTTCATGTGTTATGCATGTGTTGCTGATGCCGTTTGTTTTTTCTTTCTATTGGCTTGGTATTTCTCCCATTTCTTTTTGCTTTTGAGTAGGTTGTCTATGTTTTGTAGATATGCCGAGGTACGTGTGCTTAGACTTTCATCTTGAATCTTGGCTCCAAATCTTCTTATATATAGATATATTTTATACATATCTTTCTCACAGTTCATTTTATTTTTGATTTCGATATTTAAGTTCGACTTAAGAGTTGTGGAGAGAGAGAATAAGAGGTTGGTTTAGTTTCAGGACCAGTTTGATGACAGTGATAAGTGGGCAAAAAGCCTTCAATTTTCTTGTACTGAAGCTTTGTTTGAGTGGGGGGGTAAGCTCCAGTGTGAAATATGCTCTGCTTTGCCCTGCCAGTGATTCATTTTCTCTATTTGCTCTACCTCAAAAGGTGCAATTAGTCGACATGGGCTTGGACTCGGACTCAGGCCCTGCACAAGCTAACTCTGGTGAGTCGACTCGCTCAAGTAGAGCATACAACTCCAAAAAAAGGGCTCAAAACTTCAAAAATAAAAATGCTAAAATAAAAACATTAATGATTAAATAACAAACAGAACTAAGTAGCACACAACCCTAAAAAAGGGCTAAAAATTCAAAAGTAAAAATGCAAAAATAAAAACATTAATGATTAAATAACAAACAAAACTATAAAGTCTCAGAAAAATGGAAAAATATTTATGCAGGATAGAATTTGAAAAAAATGATTTATAGCTAGAAATAATTCACAGACAGAAATCCTGAAAAAGAGAGTAGAAAACTATAGCATATGATGGGATAAAAACGGATGGGCAATTTGCGTGCCCCTTGTGAGCGTAACACGGCATATAAACTTGTGTTCAATGACCATAGACAGGGCACAAAGGAAGAGAGACATCTTTCATCAACTTTTTCCTCAAAACTCAATAACATAGAGAGTCATCGTATGTCCAAGCACTTTTCAAACACGATACAGTGAATATAATCACGATTATCTTCTTCATCAGGCCCAAGCCCATCAGGTCGAGGCCCAAGCCCATCAGGTCGAGGCCCATAAATATCATGTCGGTTTTGTCGTCGCCACTGAGGGCCAAGAGTACAATGTCATCCACCCCTATGGACACCTTCTACTGTAACTTGGCCCGAATGGAGCACAAGTGCATGATGTTATTGGCGTAACATGTGGAGAACCGGACTGTATTCCTGCCCTACTCTTTCTACGAGAGCTCTCGCTTCTTTAAATCTGTAACTCCATTGCCGTTGTTGCTTCTCATCTATGGGACTCCACAAAATATACGAAGAAATCTGAAATCTGATATGACCAACTCCTCCCTCTTCCTCTTAATGACCTATGATGGGGCCAAAAACAAAAAAAAAAAAAGGGGTCGAGTAGGGCCAAATCAGGCCACTTGCCCGGTCCTTAGGCGCAAAATCAAATTAGAACAGTTAACCGGGCACAAAATCAAACCAGAATAGTTAATTGGATATGGGTCTGGAAGCGATTTAACCGGCTTAACCGGTAAACTAGCCGATTCAACCGCTCTAACCGGGCAAATCCCGGGTGGTCAAAAAAGTGTTGAAAAAAAAAAAAATTACAAAAAGAAATCCATTAAAATGTGAAAAGAATATAAAGAATAATTAAAACAAAACACATTCAAATGAAGTTGAAAATTAATGAAAAAAATGGATTTTAACCCATTTTATATTTTTCAAGGCTATTTTTTAAATTTTCTAAAACAGATGGGAAAACATATAAAAGTAAGTATTAATGAACAAAATTAATCTTTACCATAATGCAAAGAATATTTAAAAATACATTACAAATCAAATTCTTTATTTTTGAGAATTTATATACATTTTTTAAAAAAAATTTAAATACCGGTTGATCACCCTAACAGCCGAAAAGGCTGGCTCCGATCTAACCGGGAGGTTAGCGGTTAGATCGGACGATTTTGCGAACAATGATGTGAACAACTTTGAAAATCTAATCCAAGGGCCTCCTCTTTGTTCTTCTAAAGCCATTAAGGTGAGGGAGCTTGCCTTTTTTATATACTCTAATTTGGTTAACAAACAGTGTGACCCAAAGAATTTAAAAGAGTAAAAGTTAAATTGAAAAAGCAAAAGTTAATCGAAAACAGAGAATACTAACGAATTTAGGTGAATTCAATTTAAGAAAGAATTGAATTAAAAAGCATCTTACATTTTGCAATGGATATAAGAGTTATATTACGATGAGTATCAAGAAAGTATACGGAGACAAATCGTTGAATTTAAATACGTGACATGATAGGGAACTCTAAAAAGAAAGCCGGAGTTTAGAAAATGAACAGATATATTTATTTATTTTCTCCAACAAGAGTGCGAGATTTTATTAATAAGCTGGAGAGTACAAGTAATTCCACTTTACATCGGAAACAACCAAATTATCCAAAAGAGCACCTCACTTTGCTCTCATTAATTCAAAATCTTCAACTATAAACTTCTTAAAGGTAAAAGATAAAAACCGCAGAGTAATTCAAAATCTTAAACTATAAACTTCTTAAAGGCCCAGGAGGAGCAGACACCTTATTGCAGAAGGCGAAAAAGTCACCAATTTGACAATCCCTTATGATTTTAATTCCTTGGAGCAGCGCACAATTCATCATGGTTTGCCGAAGTATTACCACATGACCCTGCAAAGCTAAAATAGTTTTCCCCAAACTGTCTCAACAGATATAACTTGGTTTGTTTTAGTTGGAGATTTGCTATTATTAAGAGATATTCTAAAAACTGCTATATTATTAATTAAAGGAAGAAGTTTATGTAAGGTGTCGACCTAAAAAAGTCCCCTAAAAAGGAGTGTTTTAACGTTAGAAAATCCTTCATTTGATCATCTCGAACTTGAGATATATGACGAATCTTATATGAACTGTCAATTTTCAAGATTATGAAATATTTATAACTCTGACCGATCTGGACCATAATAAAAAATTTATTTACATAAGAAGGAACATATATAAATTTTCAAGCCATCATAAGGTTTCTGACACCAAAACTACATCTTCGCCTTACTTCTACTACACAAGGAAGGCGCCTTGTGTAATCCGCACCCCTTTAACGTTTGGTGTATGAAAAATGAGATGAGTAGGTATGGCATACTTTAGTAGGTGCACATTATAGATCTACTCTCATGAGCAAATGAGAGGCATAGAAGGATTTTCTCATTTTGAAATCTTGGAATCACTTTACAATCGGTGTATAAATATTAAGAAAAATCTGGATATTGAGTTTCTAATCTAACCATGATAGTCTTTGCTCAATCTTAGGACACTATTTTTTTCATAAACATGAGTGTGCAGTCTTTGCATTTCTCTCTCTCACTCAAAAAGGAAATAAACTATTCTCTAAGCTTTTCTTCAGAGTTTTCTCATAGGATTGTTCGCCTTGGTCAAGAAAATATATATGCCTATTTGTGCAAATCAAATGCCCCTAATGCTATGAGAATATGGATATTGTTGCCGTCCACCTTGGATGGATCACATGTTTCCCCTCATCTCTCTCTCTTTTATATAAATTCCATAAAACGAGTATCATTTTCTCCAAACCATTAGCCCAAGGTTTAAGATTTGAAGCTCCTGCATTTTGTTGATTCAAAATTTGAACTAATAAAATGCAAGAACTTGAATGGTCAAGTGGATATCAAATTAATAGAAGCCCCTTTTGATAATAAATAGGTTTCGACAGTACAAAATAAAAAGGAACATCGTTAGCTCTTGAGCCGTTACTTTACCTAGGATTTATTTCCGGTGAAGTAGATTTTACGTCATGCAAGCAATGTTATTAGGATTGGGCCAGCAATTAAATTAGTGAGATGTCTGGTCTAGTCAAAGCCATAGTTAGCAATTCAGAAACTAATAATATATTGGTGAACTAAAACATTAGTAATAAATCGGTTTTATTGAAAAAAAATCGAAAAAAAATAATCCAAAAACATAAATCGACAAAAAATAATTAGCATTTACTCATATAAGGAAAAGTAATATGTGCAGGGGATACACTTCTACAATAGCATCCCTTGACGCATGTCACACCAATTTTGAAGATGGATGTTAGAAAATGGTAGCCCCATAAAAAAGTGAAATCGATGGTATTAAAACTATGCTAAAAATATTTATTTTTATTTGTTATTTTTATTTTTTCGAAGTTCTTATTTTTTGTGGTTGAGATTTTTCATTCCCCAAAATTTTGAATCCAAAATCCATCCCTAAAATAGAATTTAGAAAGAAGTCTCATTTAAATAGGTGAGTCGGCCGACTCAACTCATAGAAACCTTGTCCCTCAAATAAATCATGTATCTAAAGATAAGAGCATGCCTTGTTTGCAAACACTTCTCTCTCCACATGAAAATAAACAAAAATATTTTTCAGAGGAATTTATCATAATACACCTAAACTATAAACTATTTAATATTTCCCCCACTTATGCAAATACTCCTAAAATACCAACTCTTCTATCTCATGATTTGAGTCATTTGATGGATTTCTTGAAACTATATCAAAAGATATAAGTCAAATATTAAATGATTCATCTCTTGTTTTTTAATATTTTTTTATCATTAATATTAAATTTCATTGGATAAAAGAGCAAAGGTCCAAAGTTATAATAGCAAAACTAGAGAAAGAAATAGAAGAAAACAAATAGAACTCCCTGCTAGGGATGAACCGACTCAACAGTGAAAACGCACCCTAAATGTTTTCATTTAATAAATTTCTTTTTTCTCTAGAACAAAAATTCGTGTGCTTCGGTGACTGTGTTTTCAAGAATATCACTTAAAAATTAATTATACATTTATTTTATACAAACAATAAATCACTTTACATGGGGTTTGGGAAGTCACACGGATTCCCTTTGAATTCATTGAAATAAGGGTCACATTGCTCATTACAATGCAGCCAAAAAAAATATTATCCATCGCACGTGATGTATTATTGCACACACTCCACGGAGACGGACCTCTTGAACACTGTGCTAATAAAACCAACGGTTAATATTTTTTTGAATGGTACATGATAAATGGTTAGTTTATTGTGTTTCTCATAAATGAGCGCCTAAGATTGAGTCGGTGGGTGGTGTAGGGCTAATCTAGACCGTCAACTGTTGATGTTTATTCCCGATTGAGATAGTAGCGAG